AATGCTTTCAGTGTTTTAGTCATGACGTCCTTGCCTATGCCTATGCCCTGAATGGCTCTGCCTAGGTTTTCTTCTAGGGTTTTTATGGTGTTAGGCCTTATGTTTAAGTATTTAATCCATCTGGAGTTAATTTTAGTGTAAGGTGTCAGGAAGGGGTCCAGTTTCTGTTTTCTGCATATGGCTAGCCAGTTTTCCTAACACCATTTATTAAACAGGGAATCCTTTCCCCATTGCTTTTTTTTTGTGAGGTTTGTCAAAGATCAGATGGTTGTAGATGTGTGGTGTTGCCTCCGAGGTCTCTGTTCTGTTCCACTGGTCTATATCTCTGTTTTGGTACCAGTACCATGCTGTTTTGATTACTGTAGCCTTGTAGTATAGTGAAGTCAGGTAGCATGATGCCTCCAGCTTTGTTCTTTATGCTCTTCAGATATGGGAGGTTACTGCCATTGAGTGACAGACGTTCCTCTAGCCTACCTCCCTGCTGTGGCAGGTCTTCTGGTTCCATGCTCAAAGCCCTGCAACCTTTTGGGAAAAAACCCTGGGGAAAGTCTTGGAAATGCTACCAAACAAGGACTCTTAGCCCCTGTGCAGCCTCCAAAGCCCAGTAAGTCTCCCAAGTTAGGTTCTGTTTCCTGTTGCTAGGGCTCCATTCTGCTGCTGGCTTTGAGGCCACACTGTGTCAGCTGTACTGAGGCCACATGGCAGTGATGGAGTGATCTTTCCCATTCCCATCAGTTCTGAAGGACAACTGCCTTAGTCTCCCAGGGTGTCTTGAAGAACGTGTGGGCAAACCATTCTTTCAGCTTCTCTTGGTAGCCCCTCTCTGTTGAAAGCCCACATACAAGACCATGGAGACTGGCTTCCATGTATCCTCTCTCCATGCACATGATCATCTACAGACATATTTTAGTATTTTAATAACCTTTATGGACCTGCAGGTGCACCCTGGCAAACACCAGCTCTAGGTCAAGATACGAGTTTCATCCGAGCGTGGTGGCTCATGCCTGTAATCCCAGCACTTTGGGAAGCTGAGGAGGGCAGATCACTTGAGATCAGGGGTTTCTTCCTCTCATCTTTCTCCCCGCTGTGAATCAAGCCCACCTCCGCAGATCCCTGTGTGTTAGTGGGCAATCCTTTCATCCTCACTGGAAATAGCTCTCTCCTGGACTCTCAGCAGCTAGAAGGTGGGGCTCTGAATACTTTAACCCCCACCAGCTACACAAGAATAGGAACCAACCATGCACCGTTTTGACATTGAGTTATCCTTCCAGAATTAGGGAGAGATTTCTTTCTACTGAATCAGTTTGAACCTTCTCCATGGATCTCTTTCTTGCTGTGTCATCCCTGGCTAATGGACTAAGAGATTTTCAGATGGGGGTGGGATTGAAACTCATATCTTTTTTTTTTGAGATGAAGTCTCACTCTGTTGTCCAGGCTGAAGTGTGATGTGGTGATCTCTGCTCACTGCAACCCCAGCCTCCCGAGTTCAAGTGATTCTCCTGCCTCAGCCCTCCTGAGTAGCTGGGACTATGGGTGCGTGCCATCACACCTAGCTAATTTTTGTATTTTTAGAAGAGATGGTGTTTTGCTATGTTGGCTAGGATGGTTTCAAACTGACCTCAAGTGATCTGCCCACTTCGGCCTCCCAAAGTACTGAGATTACAGGCATGAGCCGTTGTGCCTGGATGAAACTCGTGTCTTGACCTACAGCTGATATTTAGCCAGGGTTCACCAGCATGTCCATGCTGGTTATTAAAACAATGAACTATATCTGTATCAGCTGGTCAGTAGCCACTGCCAAATGTCCACCTGTGTCACTGCTGCTCATCCCCTCCCCTAGATCCCCTGGAATCCCTGCAATCCCAGAGAAGGGACCTGGCACCGCAAGGATGTCCAGGAGCTTGCTTTGGCTCCAGAGCCAGGGTTCTTTCTGATTGGCTGGTTCTTCCGCCTCATTGGTGTAGTAGTCTGAAGGGCAGCTGACCCTTTCAGCTACCTAATCACACTACTTTTTACAGATAGCCACTTCAGACACCTGTGGCAACGATGTGTTGGGTTCGATTTTGGGGCATACTGAAGCTCCTCGTAAAATGGTTTCAGTGCCAAACAGTCTTGTCACTGGGCATCACTGCCCTTGATAAAATTTCCCTTCCGTCAACAAACTCCAGCCTGGCAATTCCAGACTGCCCCTTTGTCAATACGCTTTCAGAAAACAGCAATAGTCTGTATATACCGAGTGCTGCTCACTGCCAGGCACTGCACCAAGGGCTCTACATGGAGGATTCACTGAGTCCTCTGTGATAGCGTGACTTGTAGCCACTATTATTATCATTTAACAGATGTACAGACTGAGATTCAAAGAGTTTGGGTGGTCTGTCCGAGACGTTCCACTAGAAAGCAGCAGGGCTGGGTTTAAACCTAGGCCGAGGGACTCCAAAGTGCTTAACCTTTAAGCTAAACTGATTCGTATACAGTGTTATATGTGTTCACTATTTTGTTGCTGTTTTTATTGTGTGATGTCTTAGTCTGTTTTGTGTTGCTATAACAGAATACCACAAACCGGATAATTTACAAAGAAAAGAAATGTATTTCTCACAGGGTAAGAATGTACTTCTCACAGGGGTGGGAAAGTCCAATAACAAGGTGCTGGCATCTGAGAAGGACTTTCTTTCTGCATCATCCCATGGTGAAGGGCAAGAGGGTGAGACAGAGAGAGGGAGAGAAAACACAAGAGAGGGACGAACTCGCTTTTGCAACAAACCACTGTCTTGATAACAAATCCACTCCTATGAACGTGATGTTAATCCAGTGGGAGAGCAGTGTCCTCATGACTTAATTACCTCTTAAAGGTCCCCACCACCACCTACACTGTAGTGGCACTGGGGATTAAGTTTCCAACACATGAACCCTGGAGACAAATTTAACGCATAGCATGGGATACCCACTACTGTAGCACCCCAGGGAGTGTGTGTGTGCGTGCGTGCGTGCGTGTGTGTGTGTGTGTGTGTGTCTGAGAGAGAGACAGAATTTGAATGAACACCTGTAGGATGAAGGGAGAGGCACAGGTAGTTACTGACAGGTCCCTGTTCCCTGTCACTTTATGTGGTTCCTTCTGATCATCTGGATTCTCTGAAATAGAAAACTACCGTATGTCAAGGGCTTTGACTGACTTTTCTCAAAACCTAGGTGAGTGCCCCGTGCAAGCAGGGCCTCTGTCAAGGCATCTAGATCACAATGGGGATGAATCAGTAAGTGGAAACTTCTGGGAAAGGAGGGAGGAGCCTGCTAGCTTCTTTCTGCCAAGATGAGCTGTGATGGCCCTTTTTTTCCCTCCCTCCCTTTCTTCCTTCCCCCATTTCTTTTTGTCCCCTTCCATATCAATATGGAGAAGGGCACTGGAGGCTTACTGAAGAGCTATAAGGAATTGCAGTGAGGACCCAGAGCATTCCTTGTTTCCAGATGGTATCCGTGCCTGTGGATCTGGGGGGAATGTGGACCGTGTTGGTGGACTCTAGTGGCTTTTACCCTGCTGGATTCCCTTTGGAGTGGTTTTCTTGGGAGTGGGGAAATTTAAGATTTAAAACAAAATTCAAAATGATGAGTGCAGCTGACTTCTCTGACGGTTTCTCCGCTTCCAGGTCAAACTCAGGCTGTGCCCTGGCTACGAATAGCACATCCCCATGGAGCGTCCAGGCCTGGAGAGATTGTCTTGTTCACCCCTGGTAGACTGGTTAGCCCGGCTGCAGGCCCCCTTTGCCTCAGCACTCCCCACAGCTGATGGCTGGCCAGCGTGTCCACTATCTTCATGCACAAGGTATGCTCTACATTAAAGATCCTCTGACCAGAGAACACTGAACATGAGATGATTGTCTGCTTTTTCCTTCACCTTTGAACTCAAACTCACACTGACCATTAGGGCTTGAATAAGCTGCAAATCCAATGCAGTCTAGAAATGCCCACCAAAAAGACGAATTTGAACTTTGCCTAGGGCCAAATTACAGGGGATAGGGAGGGTAAGGGAGGAAGAGAAAACGTATTTCTTCTGCCTGTATCACTGTATTTACCCAAAAACCTTGTCTCTCCCACTGTGGGAAGAACCTAGCCATGGAGCCAGCAATCGGAGTGTAGGCAGCTTCTGGGTTTGAGTGTTTCCTTTCAAGCTTCCCCTCCCTGCCAGAGAACAGGCCCTCTGCTCTACGGGCCGGCCTGGGCTGAGATCTGAGGTTCTGTTAATTGTGGAGTGAAATTCTGCCAAGGAGGCAGACATTGCCATTGCGCCACCTGCTGGAAGATTGAAAAAGAATTTGAAACTCGAGGTTCAACTAGTGGCTTCACACTCAAAATGATTATTTTTCATAATTCCCATTTTATCTTATTACACAAGTTACACAGTTTCATTGAAGACAATTTAGGAAGTTTATAGAAGTAAAACAAAACAAAAGTCGTCCATAATTCTGTCACCCAGAGATAACCATTGTTTATATTTTGTTGGCTTTCCTTCCAGTCTTTTTTCCAGTTAGATATACGTAAATTCATAGACATTATTAGCATCATTTAATATACATTATTTTATCATTTAATAGATATTATTTTATAGTTTACTTTTTAAACTTGACAAGAAATCTATCTTTACCTATTATTAATTATAATCTGCAACATGAGTCTTGCTTAGTAGTTTTTTAATATTTCTATACCATAAATCTAGAGTCTATTCCTATATATTAATTACAATGCTTCTATGCTTTGGTTTTTACTGAGTCTAGTTCCCCCCTCCCTTTTTCTCTCCTTTCTTCCTGCTTTACTTTCTTCTTTTTCTCTTGCCTTATTTCTTTATTTCTCTCCCCTAACAAACATCTGCCTTAGATGCTGTTTGGGATGGTTTCTTGGGTCTGTCCACCTCACTCCTTCATAGAAGGAGCCCCAGAGACTTTCACTTGAGCCCTGGAGCTCTCTTCTGGGTGGGCTCTGCTGTCCTGCCACAAAAATAGAACATTCTGCACTCTGGATAGAGATAGACAAGAAAGATGGGATCCCAATCTAGTGCTTTCTGCAGTGCCCAGTGATAAACAGGAGGCTAACAATTGCTGATCAGGTACTGTGCACAAGCCGGACTCCATGCCAAGAACTTGACATGAATTATCACATGTAAGTATCACAAAACCCTTGCAAGGTATAGTCCTTCCCTCCCTCCCTTCCTCTCTCCCTCCTTTTCTCCTTCCCTCCCTCTCTTCCTTCCCTCCCTCCCCCCTCCCTTCCTCCCTCCCTCTTTCCTCCCTTCCTTCTTCCCTTCTTCCTCCCTTCCACCCTCCCTCTCTTCCTTCTTTCTTTCCTTCCTTCCTTTCACTGGACAGCTTAGGACACCAAGCTTAAAAAAAACACATGAACTTGCCCCAGATTACCAGCTAGAAAAGCCTTAAACCTCAGTGTGCAATGACTTTCTATTAAAACAAAGCAAAACAATGTTTCCAGCCTCTCTTGACAAACTGGAAGATTGGACAACACAGGTTTGCCTTCCCCTATAACAACCGTTAGCTGAGCTGAGTAGTGGTGTCCATATTGCGTGAGTACAGGCTCTCCAGGTGCACGATCTCCCCTTCTCATACATTCTCTAATGGTAGGAAAGGACTCCCTACTGCCAGTGGCACTATGGGACACACTGACTTCAACTCATAAAACAAGAGAGTTTACAGAAAGAAAACGGCAGGCTCAGAGCTGTGTATTCCTGCTCTGTCTGAGAACCAGGATGCGTCTATGGCTGCCCTAAAAGAACCACCTTTCTCTCCTATCCATGGGTGTGGAAATGGATGTGGAGGATGTTAGACCACGGAGGGAGGAACATAATGACAGTTCAGACTGAAGTCGTTGCTATGGGTGCCACTTCCAGAGCTGCCAGAGTGAGCACGCGCATGGGCAGACTGGAGCAGTTGCTAGCTTTGTTGGCTGATGGTGGCCTGTGCTAAGTGAAATTGATATAATGTAGAACCAGGAAAATTAGCAAACTTTCTCTGAAGAAAGGCAGTAAAAGTTGTGGGCTTTGTGAGCCATGAGGTCTCTGTTGTAACTAAACTCCGCTGTTGTAAGCGCTGGAGCAGCCGTAGACAGTTGCACACGAATGGGCGTGGCTGTGTTCCAATCAAGCGTTGCTTACAAAACAGGTGGCAGTGGTATTTGCAAAAGCAGGCCATAGTTTGCCAACTCCGGTATACAGTAGAAGGAATCTAAAGACTTAAGAATAGGGCCGTTGGAGTGGATTTGGCCTCTACAAATGACGCCCTGCTTAAATTAAGTGGATTTTATTTTCCATGGTAGATTCTATTTTCTTCAGCTGAGCCCTCACTCATGCATCGTTTCTCCACTTTCTGTGACTTTTGAAAATGGTCAAAATAAGACATTTCCCTGCAAACCATTGGGGATTGGGATGGAAATTCAGATTTGGATTTTCTGACTCAGTTATTTTCGAAATTGTGTTAGTAATTGGGTTCCCAGCAGACCAGAACCCCCACGGAGGCTCCTCTTTGGACCCAGAACTTCATAGGCTAATGGAGCCAGCAGAGGCGGAATCACCCCAAATGGAATTGGAACTGTGGGGAGGCCACAGTCCTTGAAACGCATCCTTTGAAGATCAGGCTGACAGTATCATTTAACACAGCGATTTCCAGTCCCTGAGAGATTGGAGTCAGAACAAGAGGGAAGGAAAAACAATTTAAAAAGAGAAGCCTGAGAAGCCCAGGCATCTCTCATAAGACTGGAGTCTCTGGATTCAAGGGTTGGACTCAGAAAATGAGAAAGTGGGTGGAGAAAAGGCCTGCCAGGGAGTGAAAAGCCATCGGAGTTCCTGTGTTTGTGTTTTACTTGAAGCCCTTGGTGGTGTGGGTGGTGTGGGAAAAGGGGAAAAGAGGACGCTTCTATGCTGGCTTAGTATAAATAGACACCATTCTCTAAAGTTGGAAAGGAAGGGGCCTTAAGAATCCAGGGGACCCCTCCATTACAAGGAACTCCTCCTCCTGTGCCCATGAGAATACTGCTGGGTGACAGTGGTGCTCATTTCTGATGTGGTCCTGGTGGGGACTCATAGGCTTGTCAACACAGCACTCCGGGCAGCCTCCTGCCGTCGGCCAGATCAGACCTTAATAATAATGATTACAGCTCATGCTTATAGGGCATCTATTGTGTCCCAGGCCCTAGGGTAAGCGTGGTTTATGCATTAGGTCCTCTAATTCTCACAACCCCACGAAAGATAATCTCTCTGTGTTCATGAGGGGATTGGCTCCAGGTGCCCCAAGTCCACAGGAGCTCAAGTCCCTTATAGAAAATGACATAGTATTTGGCTGTCACCTATGTGCATTTTCCTGTATACTTTAAATCATCTCTATGTAAGTCTCATGATTTATAATGCCTAATATAACATAAATGCTCTTAGCTTCTTTTTAATCTAATATTTATTTTAACTTGATTTTACCTGAATATGAGTGTGTGTGCCTGTGAATGCCTGTACTGGCACATGTGACAGTATTTCTCAAACTTCAGTGTGCATCAGAATCACCTGGAGAACTTGATAAACACAGTTTCCCGGACCTCACCACTGGATTTCACAATTCAGCAGGGCTGGGTGGGACCTAACAATCTGCATTGCTGACAAGCTCCCAGTGACGCTGATGCTGCTGTTCAGGGACTGTACTTTGTGACCTACTGGCACATGGGACGGGGGTAAAGAGTAACACCTGCCATTTCTAGAATGTTTTTCAATTTGTAAAGACTTTTGTCTTTACAATGTATTTTAATTGAACCTTCCGGTTATTGTGTAAGATCAGTAAGTCAACTATTACTGATCTATCTATTTAACTCTGGCCAGAAAACTGAGGCTCAGAGAAACGAAATGATTGACCAAGTACACACAGCTAGGACTTGGAGAAGCTGAAACCAAAAATCGGATCTCCTGACTTGAATACTTTTTGCCTTACAGTGTGCTATCTGGCACAAAAGTATAAATCAATATTAAGAAATGGGGGGAGGAGAGAAAAAAATAAGAGAGGGTGATCAACCATAGATGAGATGGCTAAAGAGAGAGAGAAAAAGAGAGAGAACCTGGAACCTAAAATTGAAACCCTGGAAAATGTGTGGCACACGGAAGACAATCATGGGCTTGGCATTAGTCAGCCCTGGATTTGGTCCCAGTTCTCCTACTTTTTCATCCTTGAACCTTAAGAATATTTTTAAATCTCTCTGATCTCCAATTATGAAATGGAGATGATGACACCTACCTTGAAAGATCATTGTGATTATTTAATAAAATAATGCACTCAAGCTTTTAGCAAAAACATGGCCCAAATTTTAGCCATTGGAATTTCATTTAATCCTCACGACCCTTCTGCATTAGATGTTTTATCACTGAAGGGTAGACTGAATCACTTAACAAATGACGTCTCCAGACAGCTTGCACAATAAAAAGTGTATGTCTCTCTCACTTGAAAATTTGAAGTGAATGGTTTAAGTTGATGGGCAACTCTTCTGTGCATAGTCATTCCGGACTCAGGCTGATGGCAGCTTTTTCGATATTTATCTTCCAAAATCTCTCTTGTTGTTGCATTAACCAGCCAACAGGAAGGGGAAAGATGAATTAAGTGAGGCATAGCTAGCTTTTGAGGTGTCATTCCAGAAGGCACACGTATCTTGCCTCATATTCTAATGTAGAGATCTTAGTGACATGGTCATATGTAGTTTCAAAGGAGCTGTTGGGAGAAAGTCCTCCTTGGACCTCTTGCATTCCTACATTTCTTGCTGAGTACACCAGAACTTCAAGGACCTCACTGCTCTTTTACCCAGGCCATTTCTTAGGGTTGTTTATGCAGACAATTACCTTAGGAAATGAAATTACATCTACTCATCCTTCCTTCCAACACATACTCCACCAAGGACAATGAATAGGCTTGCTTATTGCTTACTATAAAAGTGATGGATTCCCCAAGCTTGGTGCTCCTCAGTTCCAGCACAAACCCACTGCATGCATGACATCCATTGGGGACCATCACATTATCCTCTATGAGACCTGGGGCAAGAAGAACCAATGCAAATATGCTGATGCTCCTGCTCCTTGATGTGTCATGAGTACTAAACTCCTTTGTCTCTGACTTAATGTCTTGCATCTTCCATTAGCACCAGTGAAACAGTCAGAAGCTAACATACTAGCTTTAAATAAGGTAGAATCAAATCCCAGTCTTGGCAGGAAGTTGAGAAATAGGGTCTCTACCTGGGTAGCAATATCCTAGCTACAATCTTAGACCTATAGAAGAAGGATAAAAGGGATTTTGGTGATTAGTTAAGTGTCTTTCATAGATGTTCTTATCACCATTAGGAAATGAAAACTCAAAGAGGCAAAGTGATAGATGATTTAGTTCTGTGTGCCCACCCAAATCTCATCTCTAATTATAATCCCCGCGTGTCATGAGAGTGACCTGGTGGGAGGTGATTGGATCATGGGGGCAGTTCCCCCATGCTGTTCTTGTGATAGGGAGTGAGTTCTCATGAGATCTGATGGTTTAAATGTGTTTGGTAGTTCCCCACCTCATGCTCTCTCTCTCCTGCTGCCTTGAAAGAAGGTGCCTGGTTCCCCTTCGGTTTCCACCGTAATTGTAAGTTTCCTGAGGTCTCCTCAGCCATTTAGAACTGAGTCAAGTAAACCTTTTTCCTTTATAAATTACCCAGCCTGAGGTAATATCTTTATAGCAGCATGAGAACAGACTAATGCACAAAGCAATTTGCCCAAGATCTGGCAAAAGAAGAGCTGGGATTTGAACAAGTCTGTTGAATTTCTTCCACTAAAATGAGAAGATGCACCGCAGGAATATATTATTGCAGCCATGCAAATGTATACAGAAGCCCATTTACTGTGAAACTAATGGTAACCCTAACCCCACCTTAATCCTTACCCTAACCCTTCCAAGGCTCTGGGAGTGGCTGTAGCAATGTGTTCACATAGAATTGGATGCTGTGTTAAAGAGCTTGGACTTTAGCATATAGGCAGTAGGGAGCCATTTGAAGTTCTTGAGCAGAGAGCTAATATTGTGACTGCAGTGTGAGAGGTAAATTGGATGGAGAGAAACACTGGAGGCAAGGACGCTGGGTAGGAGACAGTGGTCATGGTGACTGGCCCGAGTAGGTGCTCAGTGTGTGCTGAATGAATGGCTTTGGTGAAAAATGATAATGGCCTGAAGCAGTAGAAGGGCAGAATGTATGGGGGTGAGTGAGCAGATCATAATTTCCTGCAACATCCCATGCTTGGGAATCCTGCACATTGTATTCAAGATGGCGGCTACTTCTAGGGGCAGGAAAGGAATTGTGACTGGGGAAGAGGTCAAAGGCGCCTCAACTCCATTGGTAATATTTTATATATTAAGCTGGGTAACTATGCATATTCTTTTTCAGTTTTAACTTAATGATCATAAAAAAATTCTTCATACCTTTTGTAAGTCTGAAATATTTCCTAATAAAATGTGTAAAACACGTTTTAGAAGCAGAATAGAAAGGGTTATATTTCGAAGTGATCTCTGTGTACAGCCCTTCTGAAAGATCTTTGCATTTCAACAGAAGACAATTCATTAACTTAAAGAATGTCTGAGGGAGGAAGATCTAGTTCCAGAAACCTGTAGGTGGGAAAGATATTTTCAGGGGAAAGAGGAAACCTTGGGGCCTGCCTGCAGCCACATGCATGACTGACTTACCCAACTGCATACAGGACTGAACCTGGGGGGGGGCCTTAGGAGGGGGAACTGTACCTACCCTCTGACAGGCAATGTCCTTGGAGAGCACCCCCCCCACCCTCCATCACCACAGGGAGCACGTCAGCAGAAGCCATTTTAGTAGTAACACCTCTTGCCCCCAAATGCTTGAGTTCCCTTTGTGAATTTTTCTTAATTTTTTTTAAAGCCAAGCTGAGCATGCTAATCTTTCTCCTCTCTCAGCTTCACATGAAACCCTGGCACACCGCCTTGCATTATTCATGAAGGCTTACATTAATCAAATGCTTCAAAGTTTCATAAAGTTTCTATTTTGGAGCACACATTCTTTGTAGGGTGGGCACTTAGTGGACAATGGGATCGTATTTTGGAGCTCCTCCAGCATTCTTAATTCCCATCTGCTTTATTTGCTGCAGCTGTTTTATTTCTTCCCCAGAGGCCACATCTCAGAATTCTGTAGTATGTAGAGTGTTTTCAAATAAGTGTGAGCACCAGGAAATGCTTTCTAGGTTGAGTGGATGCAAAAGAGATCAATTGTTATACTTGATTTGTCTTCTTTGACTCGTGTCTCCCTGTGATGCCCACATGTAGGATTGTGGCAGAGGCTGCTGCTTGCTCTCCAGGGCATTTTCTTTTTTTTTTTCTTTAAAAATTGAACTGCCAACTTTTAGCTGAACCATATAGTATAAGGACTACATTTCCCAGGCTTCCAGAATGCTCTCTTCCAGAGGCCATGAGACCAGCTTCTGGACAATGGGTGTAACAGAAGTGTTGTCCCGTGACGTTGGGGCATGCCCCCATTTCCTCTCTGGTTTCCTGCTGGCTGGAATATTCTATGATGGCTGGAGCTTGGACTATGAAGAGTAATCAATCAATCAGTAATCTTGCTGAGCAAAGCAACAAGATAGAAGTTGCTGAACTCACTAACCCCTTGGAATGCCTTACCAGCCCCAGACTTCCTAAAAGGGAGAAAACTCCCATCTTTTGTAGGACATTGTTTTCTAGGGAAGGTAAAGCTTAAGGAAATAGAGGGCTGCGATGCACTTACTAATTCATCCCTGAGGGTTCTATAAAAAATACTTTAATTTGCATATTAGAGAGTATTTTACTGGTGTACTATTGAAGGTCATAATGGGAAGGACTGACCTTAAGGTGCCAAATCCTGAAAGTATAAACATCTTCCTGTATAGCATTAGACCAACTCGTTCCATGTCTGTTTTGCCAATACCCATAGTACGAGCATTAATGCACCGAGTCTTCCAGGAATATTCTCCATTGCACTAGAAGGAACGAGGAGCTGACCCAGCTAAGTAAGAGTAACTTGCCCTAACATCATTGAGTTGCAAATGGTTATTGGATTATTGTCATATTTCTCATCATAAAAGCACAAGAATAAAAATCACCAATATAACTAAGAGTGTAATTGGATTGTTTGTAACACACAGGATAAATGCTTGAGGGGATGGATACCCCATTCTCCATGATGTGATTATTTCACATTGTATGCCTATATGAAAGCATCTCCTGCCTCATCCTCCCAGGTAGCTGGGACTACAGGGGCCTGTCTAATTTTTTGTATATATTTTAGTAGAGATGGGGTTTCACTATGTTGACTAGGCTGGTCTTGAATACCTGCAATCCCTTAGGCTTGTATATGTTTTTTTTTTTTTTTCCATTTCCTACCTTCTTTTTTGCCATTATAAATAACTCTGGGATGAACATCCTTGTAGATAGGTATTTCCATACATCCTGATTTTTTTCTAATAAATTTCTAGAACTGGAATTCAGGAGGATTTAATCACCATTGCTACTATTTCTTTTTCTAGGCCCATTTTGATGTCACTGAATTCACTGTCTCCTCCGGTTGGACAGATCTCAGTCAGGTTCTCAGAACAATAGCTCTTTGTCTGGTTTATGTTAAATATGAGATGAGACCGTGAACATTTCTTATTCTGAAATATTCATAGGTTTTTGTTTTCATCTTCTATCATTGCAAGCAGTTAAAAACACAGCCTGGAGAAATGACATTTTTCTTTCAGAAAATGAATTGGTAATTTGTTTGAATGAGGCTGTGTAGTTGTTTTAAATTATTACCTGATGCATACCACTAATGAAATGAAGTCCGTTTACATCTTTAAATAACCTTTAATATTTGTACAAGTAAATATCTCCACTTGATGATAATGGAAATTGTCAGAAGTTCTCATTTTCTCACAATTTAGCTCACTCACAATGGCTGTCAGACAGCCGAATGATCTGATGCAGAGCGCTGCTAATTGTTTCGGCAAAAGACAGTGTTTCAAAGGTATGGGAAAGGAGGCGCAGACACTAATGAAGTTTTATTATCAGAACATAGAATTAGGATTGTGACAAGAGACAATGGTGGCAATGACATGTAGTTAGAATGTTACAGCTTGTGAAGTCTGTAACTAAACCTCAGGAACAGAAGTGTTGAGAAGTGTAGACTGATGACTATCCCGCAGTGGAAACAGACCAGATCTTAGCTTGTCTGGCTGGAAGGAAAGCAAAAAAACAAAGCAAAACCAACCAAAAAAACCCCTAAGAAACAAAAGACAGATTCAAGCCAACCCATGGTTTGTAAAATAAGCAAGGTACAGGCTTGTGTAAGTATCCTTGACATATTCAAATGATGAAATTGGCATGCTTCGGTACGTTTTTCTCAAAAACAAGGTGGTGAAAGCTGAATCCAGTGGATCGCAATTATACTAAGGACTCCAGGTTTGATGTGCTGACATCAGTGATTAGAAATTATTTTGTGGGAGAGAGGGAAGGGAGGTAAAAAGAAGGAAGTAGAAAAAAGAAGGTGAGAAGGGTCCGTTGTGAGAAGGGTCCGTCGTCATCCAAAATGAAGCCCACAGTAACAATCTCCATGAGATGCCTCTTCAGAATAGCCCTTGCCATTTATCCTTCATTCATTTGTTAATATTTGATAGATATTTGTTATCTACTAAGTACCAGGCACTGCTCCACTAAACACCGAGAGACAGTAGTGAATAAGGTACATAAGGCCCTTGTTTTCACAATTTGTCTTCTTTTGGGGGTTAAAGATAAAATAAACAAATAAGAAAATATTACATATAGCACTATGTGTTATGCAAAGAATTATAACAAAGTGAAGTGATAAGGTGCTTGGGAGGCTGTTTCATAAAGTATATAGTGTGTGGTGGTCTTAAAGCAAGTCTTCAGGTACTTCAATACTCTTCCATTAGTAGGTAGAGTCTATGTCCCTTCCCCTCGCACCTGAGGAGCCTCTGTACCTACCTGGAAGAATGGGACACAGAGGAAGTGGCCCTCAGTTTGAAAAGGCCATGTGGCTTCTGCTGATTTTTCTTGGGACATTCACTCTAGGTGCCTTCAGCTGAATGTAAGAAGTCCAGATACCACAAGGCCACCATGTGGACAGACTACTTAGAGGAACTGGAAAGAGAGAGAGAGAGAGCTGCCTGAGCAGCATTGCCAGCACCTACTTGTTTGAATCTTCCCAGCCCAGATATATGACGGAAAAAACTTCAAGATGCCCATTGGACAGCGGCCACAAGAAAGACCCGGAGTGAGAACTCCTAAGCTGAGATCCCACTCTTTCAGATTCCAAAGCCAAATAATTATTAATGTTTTGAGCCACTGTCTTTGTGTGGTCTTTTACACAACAATAACAGCCTGGAACAGGGTGGTTCAGGAAGGTTTCTTTGAGGAGATGACGTTTATGCTGAAGACCTCAGTATCATGAAGGAGCCAGGGGAGAAAGAACATTCTGGGCAAAGGCAACAATGGAAAGATCCTAAGTCAGAAATGGGTTTAGCAAGTTCAAGGAAGAAAGGTAGGCCGGCAAGGCTGAAATGCAACCCAGTAAGAGTGGTAGGAGGTGAGTGAAGGCATGTAGTAGACTCACCCAGGTAGTATCCTAGAGTAATGTTGAGCGTGGCCATGAGCACCTTCCACGTTTAACATTGGAACCCTGGTAACGCTTGAATCCATTTTCTCTCCCGTTCCAGAGTCATGATAAGAAGTGCTAACAAAACTTTCCCGAACCCCATCTAATACCACTGAGGTCCAAGAGAGAGAGAAGGTGGGTGTTCTGGCACTGTAGTTCTCCCCAAACAGCAGAGGATTTAACACCTTTCTTGTTTAAATATAAAAAAAATCTCCTTGGGCACAAATAATTAAAAGCAATATGAATACTATATGAATACATTTCAAGGACTGCCAGCATGCTTAAGAATGCCTTTGAGCTATCAGATCACCTGGTCTTAAAAAGTCATTTTGCAGTTTCTACCTTCTTTAAACTGGTAGACCAATTTGTGGCTAATATGGAAATCTAAGAAATGCAAATATTAAGTAATGTTATCAGAAAGTGAAGGGAAGCAGTCTGAATTTGCATTTTGTGGCAGTTACAAATGTCCTTTAACTTGTAGACGATGGTCTCTCTGATTGAGGAGCATGACCAGTGAATGACACCTGGAAGAGCTTCTCCCAGTACAAGCAAGCAGAGGCTGCTCTCCACAAACTGGACAGAGAAGAGATGGAAGGTAGCAAGATTATTTGATATTTTATTTAAGCATCCAGAAAAGGTCGGGACACAGGAATGAAGAGCTAGAGCCATGTTACACTTTGCAAACAAATAGAAGAGGGCATTGCATGTCCCTGGAACCTCCAAACCCTTTGCAAATGCTAACTGCCTGCTCTTTGGATGTAAGTGGCCCAAACTCAAATGAAAGTGGCTTAAGCAAAAAAGGGGGCTTCATTAATTCACAGATTCAAACTGCAGAAGCTGTAGAGTGGAGCTGGGCTTGGAGAAGCTGGGATCCTGGAGCTCCACCACCAGGTGGATGCCCTCCCATTTCCTTTCTGTGGCTTTCTGCCTGTTGTCTTTATTTCCCTAGACCAGATGCTCCAAGTGATAGGAGACATGGTCTTGGGCCACTCCAGGCCTACATACATACAGCTTCCTACCAACAATGCAAAAGAGCTCTTTCTCCCCAGCTTAAATTTGGAAAAATCCCCAGGGATACACCCTGATGGGCCTTGAGTCATTCCGCCACCTTCTTTGGTCAGCCATTGTGACCAGACAGTCAGGGGTTGTGACTGGCACCAAAAAAGCAAGATCTTTTTCTAGAAGAGGTGAGACGTGGGCAATGTTGGGCAGATAAAAATGATAGTGTCTTCTTCCCAAAGAAAAGAATTAGGTGCAGTCTAAGAGCAGAGCTCACAGATCTGAGTGGTACCTCTTCTCCCTGGATAGAACACTGCCCCAGATGTAAGATTTAGGGCTGGTGAGACAGAAAAGGCAAGGTTTCCATAGTTCAGCGCATTCAGGGTATGGATTTCCCCTTGTAAAGAACTTACACTTTGAGAACACAGATCTCATAAAATCACTGGCTTCTCAGATGGAAGAGACTGTTTAGCCCAACGTCATTATTTTACTCATGTGATAGTATTCAAGACCTTCATATGCAAGAATTCACAGGGTCAGCACAGTGGCTCACACCTGTAATCCCAGCCCTTTGGGAGGCCGAGGCAGGAGGATTGCTTGAGCCCAGGAGTTCAAGACCAGCCTGGGCAATATGGAGAAACCCTGTCTCTACAAAAAATACAAAAATTAGCTAAGCTTGATGGCTTGCACCTGTAGTTCCAACTACTTGAAAGGCTAAGGTGGGAGAATCACCTGAGCTTGGGAAGTCAAGGCTACAGCGAGCTGTGATTGCACCTCTGCATTCCAGCCTGGGTGACGAGAGTGAGACCCTGTCTCAAAAACAAAATAAAACAACAACAACAACAAAAGAACTCACAGATTTGTAAGGAGGCAAAAAGGCCAGAAATGGGAGCAGCTGTCAGGCTGAGTTGGCTCTGCTGAGAGACTCACTATGACACTGGCTGGAGGTCAGGCTATGTAGTTCTCTCCTTTGGTAGTCCTGTGGGAGCCTTAAGTATATATTACTTTTCCAAAACATCTGTTTAGAGTTAGCATCATAATGTTAGCAGTGACCGAAAGCAGCCTGATTATAGTATCTGTGATCTTTTCTCCTCACTGTCCACCCCACCACCTCCTACCCACACCCACACCCACCCCACACAGACACAGACACACCTGTACACTCCTGATCACCTACCTGCCTCAGCTTTCACTGCGTCAGTGGTAAAGGTGAGTAGGGGAAATAGGCCAGCGAGGAAGCAAGAAAGACGGGGAACTACAGGCCAGAGGAAAGGAATAGCTGAGGAAAGGAGAAGGATGAAGAAGAAAAAGTCTCTTTAAGCTGTGAGTTCCAGACAGAATCTCTTGGGGTCCTTAGAGTGAGGGAAGGGAAGACCTTTGAAAGCCCTGCTGTACATGTGAGAGGTAGAAAGAAAGAGGGGGAGTTATGGAAAAATCGTTTCAAGATGTTTTGTTCTGTTTTCATTATATTTTATTTATTTATTTATTTAAGAGGCAGGGTCTCGTTCTATCTCCCAGGCTGGAGTAAGTGGCACAATCATATCTCACTACAGCCTCAAACTCCTGGCTTCAAGAGATCCTCCTGCCTCTGTCTCTCAAAGTGCTGCGATTACAGGCATAAGCCGCTACGTCCAGCCTTATTATGAGCTTTTTTGTTTGGGTTTTTTTTTTTTTTTTTTTTTTTTTTTAGACAGAGTCTTGCTCTGTCACTCAGGCTGGAGTGCAGTGGCACAATCTCAGCTCACTGCAACCTCCGCCTTCCAGGTTCAAGCAATTCCCTGCCTCAGCCTCCTGAGTAGCTGGGACTACAGGCGCCAGCCTCCATATCTAGCTAATTTTTGTATTTTTAGTAGAGACAGCGTTTCACCGTGTTGGCCAGGCTGGTCTTGAACTCCTGACCTCGTAATCTAGCCACCTCGGCTGGGATTACAGGTGTAAACCACCAAAAGTGCTGGGATTACAGGTGTGAGCCACCACACCTGGCCATGTGTTTTTAATGTACCTTCTCATCTTCACTCTTAAGATACTGCAGACAATATTTAAATTGATTTTATTTTTTTAATGTCGAATTTCTATTTCTTTGCAGATACTAGGCCATGTGGTGAGTTGGATTTTTAAGGGTTACACACGTGAGGCAATACAATCCAGAGGAATTCATGACTATCCTCAGAGGCCACGGCCCATTGATGCCTCTTTCACTCTGCCCATTATGTCCCACTGAACAACTTGGGTGTCGGAGCCAGCCATTTGCTCTGTGAGGAGGTAATTTTGCAGTTGAGTTGGACCTGGTTGCATTTTCTAGCCTCTGCTTCCTCCAAATATCTCAGTACTTAATTTTTGCTCTTGTTGAAAAAAAAAATCTACACTTATGGATTAAACAGCCATTTGGAAAAGACAGGAAAAGACAAGCAATTAGTCCAAGTGAGTGTGTGGCTGTGTGTGTGCATGCATGTGCATGTGTGTGTAAGAAGCTGTGTATGAGTCTAAGGAGGTAACGGTCTTGCCAATACCTAGGCTATCTCTCGAGAATAGTATCAATTATTTACCGACCTTTATATTTAAATTTCTAGTTTGACCTCTGGCTTGACCCTGCTATTCCTTACTTTAAATTGGTATCAAATCCAGCAGAAAAATGTGGAGTGCAGTCCTCAGGATGCGGTGCAGTAGTCAAAATGGAGGCTTTGAAGAGAGAGAGAGCTGGATTCAAGTCCAGGTGCTGTTGCCGTTTTGTTGTGCTACTTTGGAGGAAAGTTGCTCAATTTCTCTGAGCCTCAGTTTCCTCATCTATGAGAGGGGACTAACACCATTCCGATTTTTTTAAAGGATTTTTTTCTTAACTTTTTTGAGGTAATTTTGGAAAAGATCATTCAAATTAATGTGTGTGAAGCAAAGTGGATTATGATTATTAGTGACTCCTGAGAGGGGGCAGGTGCTGCAGAGAGGTATGGGACCGGACCAACATTCCTGTGTCTTCTGAGGATTACAATTTCTAGAAGCTGCCCCCAGATGGGGGAAATGTTTTATCCTGTGGTCACATATTGCTTAGAAACTCTCGATTCGCCTTTTGGAAATGTATTGTATACATTAGCATATTAATAGCTCTGAGAAATCCTGAAGAAAAGAGTCTGTTTAACTTGGTTTAGCCCAGTGATTCCCAAATACATCCGAGCAAAGAACCACCATTTTTTTTTCTGCTAAAGAGGAATTAAAGTCAGCTTCATTTTTCATTAGAAAAGTGGAAATAATAATCTTTTCCTCCCCACCTGCTTCCCGTTTTTTCCTGTTTGCTATATTTTGAGTTTTGGTTTGGCTTGTTTAGACTTTTGTTAACAGAAGGATTAATATTTTCCTCAAACTTTCCATGTTAATTCTACTTCAAAGATCTCAGTTTTACTTGCTTTCCTACTTGTATTACAAAATGAAAGAAACTAAAGGAATTTTTTTCAACCTGTATTTAGTATTTCCCTTTTTTATTTCTAATTTTATTATTATTATTTATTGTACTTTAGGTTCTGGAGTACATATGCAGATCATGCAGGATTATTGCACAGGTACATACATGGCAAGGTAAGAACCACCATTTTTTTAAAAAAAGAAGAGATGTTCTTTGTTAGTAACATTCCCTGAAATCAGTGTTCTGCGAACTCACTTTGAAAAACGCTGGACTAGGCACTCTTTAAGTTTCCTT